ACAAGGTTGTATTGAGTGTTTCAGCACCCGAAACGCGAGTTGATGATGCTGAATTTGAGGAGAATGAGGTTTATGCTATCGATATAGTTACAAGCACTGGTGACGGCAAGGTAATGATTTTACTCGATTCTTATAGCAAACATAAGCCCCTAATTTTTCCTCATTCATTTTGAACCACACATTTAATGGGACACAACTTTTATCAACTTTTCAACCACACATTTGACGACTTTTATCAAAATCTACTAAAAACTTAATTTTTATTCAAACCAAACAGGGCTAAATTTGGTTTTTATAAGCCTTAACATGGAATGATTATTAAACTTGCACAGCCCAAGTTATTGGATGAGAAACAGACAACCATATATAAGAGAGCTGTTGACAAGAATTACCACCTAAAGATGAAAGCATCTCGATTCATATATAGTGAGATAAACCAGAAGTTTCCAATCATGCCATTTACTGCTAGGTATGTCTTGCTCTATTATTTTCTTGCAACTTTTTCAAATATGTGATTTTCTATTGGGAGTACGTTCTTTAGCGACGATATTGAGCAGGATGAATGTGTAACAGGGCTTTGGAAGAGAAGCGCGCTCGACTTGGCCTTGTAGAATGTCTGAATCATGATCTCTTGGAGCCATATCCTGTTCTTCATGAGAAACCTGGTAATGATTATTCTTTTTAGGATTTTGTGAATATTTATGCTAAAAAATGTTGAACTTGTCTCCAAACGAGTTTAAAAAAAGGGTACTTTGTTACTCAAAAGTAACTTTTACCTTGAACCGAAATGAGTAACTTACATTTTTCCAACTTCTATTAATGGAAAAAACTATTTATTTTGACATATGAGTATAAAAGTAGATTTAAAAGTAAATCAGCTGAACTTGTGAATTTTTTGGATGTTTATGGTATGTGCTTGCTCCTCGTGTCAATGACTTGTCGGTTGCATGCAGGTGATCTTGTTGCACACATCAAATTTACTGTTTTGTTAATGCCAAATGGATCGGACCGCATCACGTCCCATTCTCTACAGGAGCTGCAGCCTACTAAAACAGTAGACGACCCCGAGATAAAAGCCTGGTTATCTTTAGGTACAAAGACTAAGAAAAAGGGTGGCGGGAAAAAGAAGAAAGGCAAGTTTGAAATCATAGCATTCCAACATTTGCAGTGGTTCATTTGTTGATAAATGTGTTTCGCAAATTTTATTTTCCAGGTAAGAAAGCCGACGAGGCGGCCAATGAAGAAGCTAAGGATGAAAATTCACAAGGATGAGAAATTTTATTTCTTCTCTTTGAAATTTTGGCCGTTGCTTTGTAATTTGTTGCTCTAGCTGCTGTCTGATGATGACAAATATTTTCAAATGATTATACTGAATATACACAGCATCATTCGCCTTTTCTGTATCCTTCTCTTTATAGACAGGAAAGAGATACTGTAGAAAACTTGAATCAATCTAGAGAGGAACTATACTCAAATTTGGATCTGTACTTATTTTATAACCGAATTTCTAATTTGACACATGAACGATCATTTAGATGCACATATTTCCCTGGGATGAAAGATAATTAGCCAACTGAAGAGTTAGTAGAGCATAGTCTGTTATGCTAACATATGAAACTGTAGAGCCCAATAGGTTATAGAATTATTAGAAATGAAGAGGATCTCATGTTTGTGATTGGGCATATTTGCCTCTTGGGGAAGAACTTTTTAATGCATTATGCACTAAATAATGAACAACTATTATTGAAGGCAAGTTCAATGCATAATGGATTTGTAATAGCAGTTGGTTTGTCATAATGACAAATGAGTCGAGATTTGTTGTCGAATTTTGACGCTTCACTGCAAAATTACAGTGAAGTCAAGTGAATGATAGATCCAAGTAAATATAGAAAGACGAGACCATTTAGTGCCACATAGATCGATGTTTTAACGCAATAGAGCTAAAATTAGTTCTTGTTGTCTTTTCAAACCTTTTTTAACGTTTTGATATTAGAAACAATAAATATAGTTGGATACTAAAGTAGTTGTATAGAACAAAATTTTAAATAGATAGTTCTTGTCATTAAAATTTTGGAAGTCTTCCAAATTATTCTACTTTCCTATCTTGCAAAAGTCAATCAAAACTCTCACAATTGTGTCTGGAAAAATTATCAAAACGAAATATGTAGTTTACATTTTTCTATTTTTGGATATGTATTTTTTTAGTTTAATTAATTGGAGTTCAATTATACATTTAGCCCCTGCTCGAAAATTCATTTTCTTTCAAACTCAATTTTAATCACGTATTCTCCCAATAAATAATTTTGCATGTGAAATTACTCTCTACACCTATCAGAGCATGAATAAGGCATATTGTTATTTTATTTTCTTGTTGCAACAAAGAATTTTGCAACTCTGAAGTGAAATATGAAATTGGGTATAACAAAAATTCATATTTAGGGAAATATTTTAGTCCATCCTATATTTATTTATTTATTTTCAGTGAAATTGAAAGGAAAGAGCTATAACAAGTTAGGTCCCTGTTATCTTGACCTTTGCCTTTATAAGTGGCAATAGGTTGAGCTTAGCCAGATAATGTGCTCGTTGAACAATATATCACGCTCAGCTCATTTAAAAGGCATTACTCGAATCGGGTTCACTCTCAAATTCTCGAACATTACTTTACGAGTTTAGCTCTTTCCATGGACTCGTTGTGGAACAAGTCGAGTGGTCATGTGCCAATCAAGGCAATTCCCCTATGAAAATTTTAGGCGAATCTCATACTTTCAACATGTGGATCGGGAAATATACTATTTTTAAGATCTTGAAAGTGACGTATAGTTTTCTAAAGAGATTTTTAAAATAAATATAAAATGGAAATTCTTAATTTTTTTTATTCCATTCAATTAAGAAAACAAATTTATTAACATAAATTGGAGACCTATCCAATTTGAGTGATATCATGTCCTAATTAGATTATTACAACAATAAGATTAGGAATTCCGCAATCCTATTGGTCAAGACTCGTGGAGTCCCTACCCAGCGCCACGTCAGTGTTACTCCCGAATGCTCTAGAATTCCCCGCGAAATGTATTTATTGCGTCCCCTCCCTGCCCGCTGCCGTTTAATTCGGAGAATTCAGGATATTATTTTTGGGAAAAATTAAGAAGCAAAAATCAGTTGTTGAACATACACAATTAGATTCATAGATGAAGAGACGATTAAAATTGTGGATTTTAATTCTCGAATTACTGTTTCTTCTCACGGTAGAATCGAAAAAGACCGACCTTTATAAGGTAAGCAAATTTTATCTATTAAGTAGGTGTATTTTTACTGGGGTTTGTTTATTATTATTTGGAATTTTGCGGGTTTTGATGGTTAAGGATTGATTTGCATTCAGGAAAGAATGATTTTGGAATTATGATTAGTTTAAGTGATTTATCGTTTTATTTTTTGTGGCTTCACTTTTGGCGAAATTGTTAATATTGTATATGATAATAAGTACAGCCGCGACAATTTTTTCATAATTTAGTTTGGATGGGAAAATTGAAAACTATACGTTGAATTTCTTTGTTATACAATGGGAATGAGATTTATTGAAATTGGAAAAATACGTTGTATTTCTTCGCAGGAAAAAAATTCTTTTCAAGTATAAGAAATACAAGGTTTCACAATGTAGATGTGATACCTTCCTGATTTATGATAAACTGAAGTAGTAGCTCTCATTCTGTTCAATATTGAATACTAGCTGATGTTTATGGAGTTTTAGTTTGTACCGAGAGGTGTAATTTGAATTGACTGTACGAGCGTTTGGTTTCCTGATAATAATGAAACAATGAATAGTTGTAAAGTTTTATTTTTCTTGTAAGCAGTTTATTCTGTATTGTGTTCTAGCTTCTAACAAGTTATATGTTTTGCCAGGTACTGGGGGTTGATCAAAATGCGAGTCAACGTGAAATTCAGAAAGCTTTCCATAAGTATGTGCACGTTGCGCAAAATTTGTACCAATTTATTTTTTCGTTTCTTCGCATACAGGATGTAGATCAAAGTTTAGTCCTACATTAGTGTATTTTACATAATCTTATCTAAAAGCGTGCATGTTTGCAGGCTCTCACTCCAGTATCATCCTGACAAGAATAAGAACAAGGGTGCGCACGAAAAGTTTGCCGAGATAAATAACGGTAGACTACACTTCTCACTGTTTCAATCTCAACACCCACCCCTCAATCCCTATGGCCACCAAGTATCAAAAGCAAAATTTTAGAGCTACATAGGTTTGACAGCTATACATATTCTGATGAATGACTAGGTTATGTGTTGTTTTACAAATGGTCTCTTAAGTTTTTATTCTAAATAAGGGTAAAATGCCCGTGTAGTGGTATTTTTGGTGGTTGTGTTTAATATATGATGCTAAGTATTTGATTTCTATTTGAACTGATTTAAGAGCTAATCTATAGCTGAGGAGTTCCTTTGAATGAGATACGTTTCCGTGAAAAATAAAGTGCAACCTATGGGAATATCCTTTCTTGTTCTTTTTATTTCACTTGATTTTTTATGTTGTTTATCTTCTTTGTGTTCTCAAAATAGTAAAATTCTAATATTTGCATAAATGTTTTCAGCATATGACATTCTATCTGATGAGCAGAAGAGGAAAAACTACGATCTTTATGGGGATGAAAAGGGAAATCCTGGATTTGATACAGGAAACCCTGGAGATGACGGTGGATACAGCTATTTCACAAGTGGTGGACCAGGACAGAGTGGCTTTAATTTCAAGCAAGGTGGATGGCAAGATATGGGTGGGCAAGGAGGTTCAAAATCATTCTCATTTTCTTTTGGAGGTCCTGGCTCTGGTAGTGGAAGGCAAAGCTCATTTAGCTTTGGTTTAGATGATATCTTTTCAAACTTTTTTGGAGGTGATGCTGGAGGAGGGAATCAGTTTGGTGGTTTCAGTAGTTCGGGCAGTTCTCAGTATGGGAGTAAAGGACCTTCTAAGAGTCTCCCAGCTGTAAATTCTCAGTTGTATATGAAAGAAATAGTTGATAGAGGGATGACGTGGCTCTTATTATCTCACGCTTCTGGTCTTCAAGGAATCCAACATTATGAATATATCATCGAGGAGGTTGCGAGCTCACTGCAGGGAGCATTAAAGGTAGTAATCATTTTTCCGTTTCCTGTGTACTATTAATTATTAGACAATTCTCACTTCTTTTCTGAATTTCTGTTAACATGCTATTCTTTTTATAGGCTGGTAGTATAAATTGCGGTAGTGATGCATCTTTTTGTACGGAGTTTGGTGTATATCCTCGCAGAGCACCAAGAGTGTTTGTCTATTCATATAAATTGAGTGAAAGTGGTTCCTTAGTGGAGTACACTGGTGATTTGAACGTGAAGAGTGTGAAAAGTTTTGTTATAGATTATTTACCAAGATTTTCAAAGCGGGTAGACTTGGGCCATTTAGATGTCAGTTCTGATAATTCTGGGAACTTACCCAAAGTGATGCTTCTCTCTACAAAAAAGGATACTCCTGTTATCTGGCGTGCTCTCAGTGGGTTATATCACAAACGTTTTCTCTTCTACGATGCTGAGGTAGTTTCTGATTTACCTTGTCGACCTTATGTGATGTGTGTGATTAGCACAATTAATTTAACTGTTCTTTATTCACTTCTATGTGGGTTTTATACAGGTTCATGACATTTCATATGTGAAAGAATTGGGTGTTGATGCGCTTCCAGCTATTATTGGTTGGCTATCAAACGGAGAGAAGCATATCCTGAAATCTGAGGTATCTGTAAAAGATCTAAAGTCTGCTATTCAAGACATTAGTGGCTTGCTTGACAATTTTGAGAAAAAAAACAAGAAGGCAGCTTCAGCCAGAAAGGGACATACTGAATCGGAGGATAAACATGTAAAGTTGCTTACAGGATCCAACTTTAATGATATCTGTGGAGAGAAATCTCCTGTCTGCATAATTGGCGCTTTCAGGTCGTCAAAATCAAAGGATATACTCGAAAAGATTATTCAATCAGTAAGTAATGATCTTGAATTTAGATGGACACGACCTTTTTATTGCTTTTAGTTGTTTGAATGTTTTGATGCCTTTAAACTAGTTAAATTTGCCTTGGTGTATGTTCAAGATAACAGTGAACTTTCACGCCATTATTAGATTCATTAGTTTAAAGAATTTAATGAATATCTGCTACAGGATTGGCACTTTCCCATACAGAATTGAATAATTTTACACCTTTTTTCCGTCATATTTTCTGTTCCACTTTGTAGGTGTCTCAGAAATCTTTATTGAGGAGGAGTATGGCCTCTAGTTCGAGGGATTCAGTTTCCTATGCTCTTCTCGATGCTGCTAAGCAACAACAGTTTCTAAATGCCTTTGATAAGTCGGGATTCAAGTCATCAGACAAACTCATACTGGCATACAAACCTAAGAGAGGAACTTATGCTGTATTTCAGGGTGAAGTAACTGAAGAAGAAACTGAGAGTTTTGTAGGTTCAGTACTGAATGGAGATGTACAGTTTACCAAAACAAAACAGAAGCCTAGTATAAATTAACAGCTTCGAATATATAGAAATCACAGTTTCTCCTGCTGCTTTTCTTCTCCCTTGTTCACCATTATCGAATGTTTGTTAGAGTTGATTGTATAGCACAACACACATGAAGAAATGAAAAGAAGTTAAAATTTTGTCTACTATCCTTAATGGCTTACACGTTGTTTGAGGAGGCAAATTGTCAACTGTTCCAGGCAAACTTATCGTTTCTGGGACTCTTGCCTCGACAATTAGGACTTGGTAGTCGAGTAGGTGAATTATCAGGAGAATTTTGTTGCGGTATTGCTAAGAGGGCTACAAGTTTTTGTCTTTCATTACTTGAAGATGTGTTGTAGGTCATTTGATTTTTTAGTTAAGTATAAAGCAAGGATTATGTTGTAAAGTAAATCTTGCTTAAAACGAATGAAATAAGCAGGTTCTGTCTGTATTTTTTACCGCCAAACAAAATCATTGCATTAAGAAGTCGTCGCAAACAAAAGATGCAATGAATGATCCTACAATCAATTCAGTTATGAACAGCCGGGTCATTAGAAATGAAAGAAAGTTCGATTTTAGATTAATGTTATTTATTAATAATGAAATATTGGTGATGTAGCAATTTAAGTGGAATAACGAGATACGACAGTTTAATTTTTATGCTCTCCTATCTCATTATTCCACCTCCATCATTATAACGGTAAGTAGCATCATTCTAGATGTTATCGGGCTCACTTTTCAAAGAGGATCTACAAGAAGGAGACCTAACCACTTCCTCCAAACATAGTGCATGATTCTTTACAAAAAAGGAGACCTTACCATTCCCGAAGAGCTATGGCGTCTGCATCCTCCGGGAACAAGTTTGCCAAAATACTTGGTTAATGCAGCCACAACAATGCCCTCAAGGTTCCGCATCACAGACATCAGTATTTAACTTGAGGTGTCATGAGGCCAATCCAGATCAAGCATCTGCTTGCGCCCCTTATTACCGAAGTTGCTGACTGTCAGTATGGGTCGTGCTCACTGTCCAACAGCAAGCTCGGGTGATATCCAAAGTAGCATCCATCTGGAGTTCACAGTCATCCTTTATCAAGTAGCCTTGACTATTCTAGAACCCTTGATGATTTGATAGCTTGAGAATGATCGACCACGATTTTGATTTCTGCCTGCCTATGCCTCTAGCGATGCTTCGGGCGAACTGTAACTAGGGTGCC